TTACTAGATTAGCTTTGAAGTGGCAGAAGTACTAACTTTTAGAAACTTTTAACAGGATTGTCAAAATGTCCTCATTAAAAAATAAAAATAATAGTAATAAATTTTAAAACAATTTAAAATAATTTTTAAAAATAATTTTATTATTCAGTAGAAATCAAACAATATCAAGAAGGTATTGTTTCTATTTGTTGTTCTGTGCTGTAAAGCACTGTTTTAAACTTGTGTTTCTGAGGCTGGTTATGAATATGAATATCTGTCTCCAAAATTTTTCTTTCAGAAAAATGAAGGTAATTTCTAGTCACTATATGCTGCCTCTGATTCCTCATCAATTTTTCTGTCTGAAATCTGGAAACTCTACCCAAAAGTTAAAAAACTGAGATTTTTTTTTTCAGTTTTATAGTTCCTTCATACAAAATATTTCAGTAACTAAACAAAAAAAAATCTCCAATATACAAAATTAGGATAGGAATAGCACATTCAAAAGAACTGATATTAATCAAGTGGCTCAAGCTATTATTTTCCACATACCTACATATTTTCCCCATTTGAACATATTAACCTCAATGCTTAAGGTACTAGATATAGTGGTAACAGTGGTGAACTACTCAATATCCATTCCACCTCAAATGATGATTCTGCACTAACCATGGTAATTCCATTTCCCTTCCCAGGTTTTAGTTTAGGAATGATCACATCATCTAACTTTAGCCAATGATATAAAAAAAATAAAATAGAAAACAACTCTGTTGGAGGGCTTCTGGGGAGCCTTTCTGGTTTTTAAGAAAGTGACACAGGAGCGCTAGTCCCTAATTTCCACTGAAAGTTACCATCTGGCTGTAATTACAGGAACGACTGACACAATCCTATTAATAAGTCTAAGAATGAAGCCAACACATGATGATGGGCAGAACCAAGGAGGTCACAGAAGAAAGAAGCCAGAGGCCTGAGGTACTGTGCCTGGGGTTGGCCCTATCTGTGACATCCTGACATAGGAAATAATAAATTTCCCTAGGGAAATTTAGATTAAATGATATACGGGCAGTTTCATATGTCTCAATCTAATATAAAGAAATAGTGAAAATAATTACTCCACATTAAGGACTGAAAACAATCATCGTTAATATTTTGAGTATTTAAGGCCACATAAAAAATTGTGTCTGAAAGAGCTGTCTACCAAAAGCTAATTTTATAAAACTGTAAGCAAGGGAATTCATTTACCTCTCTGGAAATGACTTGCTTCCTGTTATTTTCTGGATAGAATTTGGAAAATAAAGAAGAACTAATTTTAGAAACACTTAAACAATGAAGACGGCATATGTAAGCAATGATCCAACAAGAATTACTAGTAGACTAAGAACCTGCACTGCTGTTGGAAAGACAAATCATACTATTTATATTCCCCATTTTGGGAGTCCTCATTTGAAAAACTAAACGTAATAGCAAGTGGCAGTATAGAAGACAGAACAAACAGAATTTAGAATTTGCTTTATATATATAAATCAAATAAATACCAAACAAATGGAATGAGATTGCAGCAGAAAGAAAAGCCTGTTACTTGAACTCTCTGAGACTGAGTTTTCCCATCTTTCAAATGAGAGCAATAGGAACTACTTTACAAAACTGTTTTGATGATTTCATACAACATGCAAAGAGCCTAGAAGTGTCTGATACATCCTGCACTAAAGTAGGTGTTTACTAACAAGCAGCTGTTACAATCATGCCTTTTGTAGTTGTGTTACCTCATTCTGCCTAGGCCAGAAATAACTATTCCCTTCTAGAAAAACCTGCACCATTTACTTAGATATTATTTTCTGACCTGGCTGTTAGTTACTTGAGTATTTTATCTCCCCTAGTACATAGGTTCTCTGTTAATGTTTATAGAATAAAACAGTCAAATTTGGGTGAAGAATAATAATAGGAGAGAGGTACGCAGGGATAAAGTAAAGCAAAATACTTTAATATTAAAAAAGTTAAGATAGCTGGGTGGAATGTCACTTATGCAATTTCAAATAAAATATTTACTTCAAGGGCAAAATCTAGACCAAACCATCGCTTTAAAATAAGATTTCAAATTTGGAGATTCGTGGACCTATATTTCTTCATCCCTAAGAATCTAATTCAACAGTATACTATATATATAGAGAGAGAGAGTGTGTATATAGTATACTGTTGAATACATACATACACACACACACACACACACACACACATGATTCGTGGACCTATATTTCTTCATCCCTAAGAATCTAATTCAACAGTATACTATATATATATAGAGAGAGAGTGTGTATATAGTATACTGTTGAATACATACACACACACACACACACACACACACACACACACACACACACACACACTTGAATACATACATACACACACACACACACACACACACACATAACAAAAAATAAGTATTGGTTTATGTATGACTGTCTTAACCATGTACTTAGGATGTTTTCCTAAGAGTTTTGAACTGGCTCAAATGCTGTTTTATTAGAAAAAGGCACATTCTATTAAGGAAAAAATATATCTTAAATCGACTCTACTACATTTGATTAGACAGGTTAACATGCCTTCCTTAAGCAGGCACACCACTAAAGTGGTTTATTTGTTAAATCATTTTGGGTTTGGGGTGAACTGACATTACTTTCTAGTCATTTTTCAGGTCTCAAATTAAACATCAATTCCAAGCTTTTCTTGACCACTCATTCTTGGTTAAGTGTCCTATGTCCCAAATGTATGTTCTCACACCACCTTATTCTTATTCTTTTTCCAATTATGTGACTCTGATTAATGTCTAGTTTCCTAATGGAATGTAAGATTCATGAAAAGCAGAGCACAAGAGAGGAATAAGTAATGGAGAAAGGGGCTGGCCCGGTGGTGCACTGCTACAGTGCGCCGCTTGGAAGCGCAGCGGCGCTCCCGCCGAGGGTTCGGATCCCACATACAGGCCAGTTCCCGCTCACTGGCTGAGCGAGGTGCGGGCGCAACACCGAGGGTTGCGATCCCGTTGCTGGTCCCGGTCCGGTACGGGCACGACACTGAGGGTTGCGATCCGTTGCCAGACACGAAAAAAAGACAAAAAGTAATGGAGAAAGGTCTGCAGTAAGGCAGGATATAGGATGAAAGACAGATATCGGTAATTATATCTCATGAAAACTGTCCCCATTTTTTTAACCCTCCTATCTTTTTTTTCCCCTTCTACCTACCAACCTCACATGTATATATACATGTGTACACACAACAAACTGCTTTCTAGATTTTCTGAGTTGCTTGCATTCCCCAAACAAGGTACCATCTTTCACAACTACTAAACTTTGGGTAGTTGCTGATGCCTAAAACAATCTTTGTACCTTTGTCTTTAATCAAGCAGGTTTGAAACAGATGAACTGGGGTAAAAATTCAATTCTTCTCTGGAGACAACCCTAAGGGCATAACCTAACTTTCTTTTTGGTCTTCCCTTTCCTGTATATGTACAGAGGAGATGTCTCATATGCATTTAGCTTATTTAAATACAACTATAAGAGCTTCCCAAAGATTTAAAATAATAATTACCATAATAATGTAAGAAGTTAGACTCTACTATCATCCTACCCAACCTAGAGGGAGCCCAAGATGAGAGAAATGATCTGTTATTCCCTCAGTAAGTCTCAGTTCCCAACTGTATTTCACATTATTATTCCTGTGATTCTAATCTATAAAGACATGAAGCTATTACATACAATAACTCATACATGCAAACCAGCAATTTTATCTGGTTCACATCTAAAAAATGGTCAACAACTGGCAATACTGAACTTACTAAAAATTATACAATTGTTATGGGCAATTTAAGAGCTTTTCAGAGAGTAAAACTGAATTATAAACTTTTTATCTTATGTATTTTACTCATGTTTGCTTTCACTGAGAGACTGAGTTCGTAAGCAGATATAGTTTTTTTATTCACGTTTGTCTACCCAGCCTCTAACACTATTGTAACCATGTAATAGGAATTTTGTAAGAGTATTATTATTAAATGAGTGAATTACTAGAATTACTAAAAGTTCCTTTATATATATGCATAAATATGAGGGTATTTCAAAAAGTTCATGAAAAGATTCATATTATCTTTCAGTTCTATTTTTCCACAAACTTTTTGAAGTATACATAAGATAAAAAATTAAAAAATATAAAGTAGAAATGCTGGTAATTCATTCATATATATATATGTAAATATATACGGTATACACACACACACACACACATACACACACACACACGATTTACTAGACCAATTTTTGTTAAGTCTTTTATTTTGAAACCTAAGATTTCTGTATTCTTTGCATTTATACCTGATTCTGAACTCTAATTTTCCTTCATCCAAGTAATCCCTTTCTATCCCAACATGTCTTTCCTTATTGGGTAATCTTTTTGTTGCCTCTTTTCTCCATTCCATTTGCATTGAAACTAATTCTATACCCATGTGATTTTGTTTATACAAACCATTTAGAAAAGGTCTTAACACTCAGTGAGAATATATCTGAGTACAGACATAGCTACCCTATCAGACCAGAGACTATTATCTCCACGATTCTGCCAAGAAGCACTGTTTACAAATACAACTCAAATTAAAAACATCTTCAGAATACAGAAAGTTAAGTTTACTAAATCTCTCTCTCTCACACACACACACACACACACACACACACACACACACACACACACACAGTTAATACCTCTAACAAGAATGAAAAAATGAAAAAGTTAAAAGAAAAAGCTCTGCAAGGAGATCTACAATAAAGATTTAATTTTTGGATGGCATTCCATTGTTTATGTTTATTTCAGCAAAGCGATGTGAATGTGAGCTATTAGCTGAGTAGCACAAAGAACTTTATTAAACAAAATTAAATAAAATCTGTTAGAATAAAAATTGTTAAAACAAAAGTCTAATTTGCTTCTTCAATTTCTTGGCAAGGACTTTACTTCCTGATTCAGGAATTAAACTATTGAACACTTACCTTCGAGGATGACTGGCGTCAAACAAGGTGTTATCATCATCCTCATCATCTTGTTCTAAAGGTGTCAATTCCATATTTTCTATGTTAGTGTCCAAAACTCCATATCTCCTAGTCTTTCGGTTCCTTCTTCTCATCCTATTGAATAAAACAACTTAGTGAATAAAAATGATTTTAATATGGTGTAGGTGATCCTTAGTTTAAACTTACTTGTAATTTAAAAATAAATTATTTCTCTGTTCTGACATAGGAGGCACTCAGTATCAGAATGGTTACATTTCAGGAATACAACCAATTTACCACCTAGGATTATTTATACTCCTTGGAAAAAACCTACTGCTACATGCTGTGTGTCATCACTGTTTCTTTTGTCTGACATACCCTCTTTTCTTTTTGTCAACTAATACTGTTGACAGATAATGCTTGAAGCCTGAGTTCAGGTACCATATCTTTACTGAAACCTTCTATTCCAGCCTTTTCCCCACGTCCTCCATGCCTTCTTACCACCATGTAGTACTCTCTGCTCCACTAAGAAACTCTTATGTATACACATATTCAAATTCCACACTGGTAGCTCACAACCATGGCTGCACATCAGAATCACCCAGAGTACTTTAAAAAGCCCCATGCTTACACTAAAATTAAATCAGAATTTCTAGGGATAGGAACTAAGCATCTATATTTTGTTCCCCCATGTGATTCCAATGTTCTGAAAATCACTATTCTAGATCAGTGGTTCTTGAAGTGCTGTTTTTTGGATCAGCAAAATCAAAATCACCTAGGGACTTATAAGAAATGCAGATCTTAATGTTCAACCCAGACCAACAAACTTCAAATATGTGGCCCAGAAACCTGTGTTTTAACAAATACTTCTTGGCCTTTTGATGCACAGTAAAGTTTGAGAACCACTGCAGCAGAGGAATTGAAAACATTTTAGGGGGCCAAATATTAATTTTTGTCAGCTGTATATATGAGTCTCATGATTTAGATCCCTACCCATTTCTCTCTCAGAAAACTTTTTCCTTTCCTTCAAATCATTTACCTCAATTTGCATTCACATGTGCTCATGTGTAGTGGATTGAATTGTTTCCCCAAAACTCACTGAAACTTGACTTGTGTCCCCTAAACTTTATGTATTAGAAACTTAGCCCATACCGGGGCTGTTAAAAGGGTAGGAAATCCTATTACAGTAATCAAAAGGTGGAGCCTTGAAGACGTGATTGGATTGTAGGCCACTGCAGTAGTGAATGGATTAAAAATGGTGGTCAGGGGCATGGTTCTGAGGGCTTTAAAAAAAGAGGAGATTCTGTCTCTCTCTCTCTCTCTGCTCTCTCTCTGCTTCTACCAACTTGCAATATGAGACCTGTGGGTCACTGTCGAAAAATGGTGGTCAGGGGCATGGTTCTGAGGGCTTTAAAAAAAGAGGAGATTCTGTCTCTCTTTCTCTCTCTGCTCTCTCTCTGCTTCTACCAACTTGCAATATGAGACCTGTGGGTCACTGTCACCACCACCAGATGGACTTTGGACTTCTAGCCTCAGAAACTGTAAGCCATAAATTTCATTTTCTTATAACTTACCCAGTTCCAGGTATTTCTGTTACAGCAACAGAAAACGGACTAATACATCATGTATATGTTTATGTTGGGGTTTATGCTCCTATCTCTCCCACTAAGTTCCATGAGAGCAGCAACCATGCCTCCTTTATTCACTACTGTATAAACACTTTCCAGCACAGTGTCCAACTTATTAAGATGTTTTTGAAGTATTTATTGAGCTCCTAAGTGGTTTTTAACTCAATGATCCAAAAACCATGATCCTGTAATCAATGCCTAAGTCACCTCCAATGCAATAACTTCAACTCTACACATAGGAGAATGTGTTTCATGAAAGTATCTATTGAAGTTTAAAAACAAAATAGCAGATATTTCAGCAAGTGATCACAAATAAAAATTCAGTTTACTTAAATTTGCTTGATGTAGTAAGTGTGATATGAAATACTTATACTACAGTACCAACTGTAAAGAAACATATGAGCCTCTTCAAACATGACCCCTGGAGAACCCTGGAGAACCAACTGTACTACACATACATCATACATATATACATATATTCAACAAATATTTGAGACTTACTAAGCATCAGAAACTACATTAGCTTCCGGGTATGAAGTGCTTGGTATCATTGTTAAAATTTACAAAATATTACTAAGCATGGACAAAACCCAAGATGATTCTGACAATCACTGCCTACAGATCTATCTATACATTCACCTAAAGGTGAAGAAACAGGAAAAAAGAGGTATAAGTATAGTATTCAAAGTTAAAAATGTAATCAATGAAATAAATGATAGAAGTAGAAAAAAATTAAGCATATGAAGCATAAACCAATCCTTTTTTTATAGTGAGAAATTAAATATGTTTATGTTGTTAAATTAACAAGTATATGTGTGTGGGGGGGAGTACACTCACTTCCTCCTCTCCCACCCCTCCAAACACATACTATGTAAACCAGAGGGCTAAACTTTTTCTGTAAAGAATCAGATAGTATCTTAAACTCTTTGGGCTACATATGGTCTGTTACATGTTCATCTTAATGTTTTGTTTTCTTTTGTTTACAACCCTTTAAAAACAATTTTAAAATTCTTAGCTCTTAAGTCTTACAAAAACACATCTGTGGATGGAATTTGGTCTGTGGGCCATAGTTTGCCAACCTTTAAATCAGATTTAGGAAAATAACAGAAAAAACTAAGACCAAAAATGGATAAAGGTATTACCTCTGTAAAGTAGGAAAAATATATGGAAGTTAGTTAACTATTGGTGTTTTTGAACCATATGATTGAATAATATTTGCATGCATTACTATGACAAAAAAGTGAGTGCACAAGAGCAAGTAAAACCACTTGGCAGCATAAGTTAAGGACAAGGAGAGTTATAATTTCTCCTCTTTTCTTTGGCCAATCTTTTGCTCAATTTTCTAAACTATAAGTCTTCCCAAACTTTGGCATTTTCAGTCAACAAAGAGTTTAATGCCACTTGAAATTACTTTTAGAAATAAACTAGATTCTCCCAGGGCACATATATTAAATAGTCAGTGTGTTAATAACCAGGTCATTGCCAATCACAGGATATGCTGACACATCCTAAAACAAGGAATGAGAGGAACATAGGGTTAAAAGACTTTTAAAATTTATCGGCGCTCTTGATCTCCACCCTCAAGGTCTTCATCACAGCTTGAATGAATTCCTAATCTTTCAATGAGTGGCTAAACTAATCTGCATAACACTGTTTTCCCTATCTGTGTATAGTGTGAACATTTGACTGCATTTGTTTGGGCATTCTATTACTCTTTCCAGCTTAGTATTTACATACATGATTAAGTTAAAGGTCAATATATCTTCCAAGCTCTTTAAAAACAAGAACCTATTTCATAGAAAAATATTGCTAGGCAACAAATAAACAGAGATCCAGTTCAATTTAAATAAATTTACCATTTTAGTATATGTACTAATTCATGTAAGTCAAATAAAAGAAAACTGCATATTATTAAACAGAATTTAAACTTGAAATGCTACTTCTCTAATACTGTCTTTCCTCAGTCCAAAAATATAGGTAGTGATGGCTACCTGGTCATGACAGCAATATGGCCATTAAAATATTAAATATAATAAAACACATATATTACCATACCTGGATATTTTTTTCAAGGAAGGTCAAAAATAAATATAAAGCTTTAAAATAATTGGGCTGATTCAATGAACTCTCTACTGAAAATATTAACAAATACTAAGTGTAAAATATAATACACATAAAAATATACTGAATTATTAAGTAACAAGCCTACTTTTACCTTTTAATATGCAGTGTACATTATTTTTAAACAAAAGACTAAAGGGGGTTTTAAAGTCCATGAAATTTTAAAGCCATCGTTTCTTACAAATGAATGTTTTCATTAAGCTCATGACACTCAAACTGTCTGTATGTGTGTTGATAATTGTATACATATAATTATAGATATGCAGACTTCTCTGCTAGACACAGTAAATGCATATTGAAATATGAAAACAAAATGTGTTGGCTCTTAATAAACATAAAAATAGGGACTTTATCTACAAATGTGTAGAGAGGGAAGTATGGAAGCCTGAATGGGCAAAAGAAAAAAGCTATACAGTTACTTATAATGAATTACATTCACTTATCACATGGCATGCACTGATAAAGATCCTGATAACATGCTGTCTAGGTATTCAAGTTAATACTCCAATAGCTGTCTTAATATAGATGCAGATTCCTTAATGTTCCATTATACTCAGGTTGGTAAGAACTATTTCTGTTCCGATAACATATATAAATGACAGTATCAAAATAAAACTAAGCTACTAGAGCAAGCTTGATAAAATTTTATGTAAAAATGTATGATGCCACATAAAATAAACACAACAGAATAAAACTCCATTTCATTTTACTACTCTACAAAAGGGAGAACACCAATTAAGGTAACTCGCTGTATCCACCTGATTCAATACATACCTCTTTTTCCTTTTGTGTTCTTTTAAGTGAACATTAGTAGGGTATGTATTAAATATAGAATAATATAAGTATTATTCCTTAATTTCTTTTATAGCACATTCAAAACTAGACTGAAAAATATATTATTTATATATTATATGTGTATGTGTGTGTGTGTATATATATATATATGTACATACATGCACATACACACACATACTCCCCTATGTGGTTAGACATAATGATAAAGCAAAGTAAGTAATTTTTAATAAAACAACTACTGATACAAAAATTTTTGTCTTTACTATTTTTAGCAAAAAATGAATTAGTGACAAAGAATTTGAAACTGCTTTTTTTCCCCAATTGTTACATAAGTAAATAAAAATTAGTGAGCCATAATTGTAATTGTCTATCCTTTTCATCAGGCAATCCAATTCAATTGGATATATGACACACAGTAAAAATTATTTTGACTAATTTGACAAGTCTCTCATATTTATCCTCCATTCCCATAACCCAATTCATCAGTTGTCATTTTGAGTCCTTCAAGAAACTGACACCAATAAGGGATTAGTGTGTGTGTTATGGGTTGAACTGTGGTTATGTGTTCAAGTCCGAAACTCCAGTACTGCA